AAAATAGTTTCATAAATCTACAAAAAAGTTATGAGTTACTAATAAATGAGTGTATGGATACGGCATTATTATGTTCAAATGAACAGCTCTTCCAAGCTATTTTGATTTTATGGCAGTCTTTACGACTTATACCAGTTGTTTGTTCGATTCACCACTCGCCAAAGTTTTACTAATAAAAGACAATGATAATGTGGTTTAATTTTATCTTATTTCCCAGTCCTTTTTTGTTAGAATAATTTCGATAATAATGTTATTAAACTAGATTTATATAAGGAAAGAAATATGTGAGCTGTTGTTCAAACAAAAATCTTGAATACATATTAATAACCGTTGGATTTGCAAATATTATTATCACAGTTATGATACACATATGTATGTTGTAGTACATTTTCATTATTCTGAAACTTCGTTTAATATTTATACAACCGATACCTTTATAATATAATATATGTATATACATAATACTACTTATACATCTGCATTAATTCAATAGGGTAAAATTTCCCCTCAAGGTATAAAACTGTTAGAATGTAAAATATGCCAGTGTGTAAATATTATCAAGGATAATCGGTGCTTATATTAACAAAAGCGAATACGAGCACACTGTAAATGTCAGCAGAATGTAAGTCAACTGTAGGGTACTTGTAAATAAAACACACAGAGAGATTTTACCGCGTTTATGGTGCCATTGTATTTTAAAATGCTGCGTTCAGCTATATATTTCAATCGTATTTAGGTGAATGAATGCAAACATTGACATATGAAGGCATATGATTTAAACCAACGAGCAAATCAAATGCAATAGCAACTAATGCACCGTTTCCAAAGTACCTAGTTCAGAAAAATATCATTTAACACTAAAACGGTTGCTTGGGGAGTAAAATATTTCTTTCGAAGTAGAAAAGTCGCGGGGTTGCTATATTGTATGCTCTTGTCTAATATTTCTAACAGCATACATTGGAACTGTTTAGTTGTTTATGTAATATTTTGCAAAACCTTATTCCAAATAATGTCATTAAAATGTGTATGGTCAATCTATAATACATGTATGTAGAACTATATTGATATATATCACAGTAAATTTGGCTACTTATTGTCTGGTTTACATTTACCACTCCACTAGCAAAAAATATTACAATTTAAATCACAGATTAAAAAAAAAATTGAAAAACAAAAATTATTTATAAGAGTCACAAAGATAGAAGGAGATATAATATTTGTTCTAAAAATCTTCTGTTAAAAATTTTATATCCGCTCTATCATCTTCCAGATTCTAGGTCATCACTTTTATATTCGGGTAACTTTTGTAAAGAAGCAATAATGTCAAACGCGTCATTTTGAGGACAAGGAATGAAAGCAACTGGTGCAGATTTATATAAAATATATATTGACAACTTCAAACAATTTAAGCGCTTCAGTTAGATAATTAGATATGGGGAAAAAAAATATATTAAGTAATATAAAGCTGTGACTGCAAATGTTATGGAGTTGGGAACACAACGGCCGTTTCCAAACAGATACGATGTGACTGGTTTTGGAACTTATTGCCAAGAGAATGAAAACTCCTTTTTCCTTTTTATATTTCATGATTATTAGCCAGGAAACATTTGAGCAAATCAGAAACGTAGTTTCCAAGGAAACAACTGAGCAAGTTAAGTCTTAAGGGAGAATATCGAACCATACAATATTCCAATCTTAAAGCTCCATTTTAATAAATCTTGCGTAGATGTAGCACAAATTAATAGAAACAAGAAAAATTAATCTTAAGATAGTGAAGGTTTTTAACACTTCTCAATGTAGTATTATTATTTAAGCACTTTCAACAAAGGAGTCTTTTTATTAGAGGCATCAAGAAGAATTTAAGATTGCCCTTATATTTCGGTTTCATAAAGTAATTCCAAATTTCCAGCTCTAATAGCTTTGAGAAGTTTTAGACAATCATGGTTGAGGCCTTACCAGTCTTTCCCTTTGATTTCAAAGGTTTCGTCGCTTAACCTCTCACCAAGTAGTTTTAAAAAGTTATAAACAAAGTTTTAAAAAACGTTTAGCAATCGTAGGAGTGTAAATGGTAACATGTTCCAAAACATCTCTTTCCATATGTTTATAGGAAAGGGAACGCGGGTTTACAATAGAAACTGCTCATATTGAAAGAAAATGCGAATTTCGGATATAACTTGGTTAGAACTAAGATAAAAAGGTTAGAACTATGTATTCATGTATTAGGCGAGAGTAGATAATTTTGGAAAAAAAAAACAAAGTGCGATTAAATCTATTAGAAAGGAAAATTAAATAACAAAAATGAAATAACCCGTTTTTAGTCCCTGAAAATTCAACCCTTTCTTTTTTTTTTTTTCATTTCGCTATTTTATCTTACTTTTCCAACGGGTTTCAGCCTGCTATAAATTTCTTGAATTTTTTATCGTTTTCAAAGACTTTTGTATAGGTATTTGCTACGTAGGTATGTCATATAATGTCATATTCAATAATTATCTAGATTTCGAAGTATTGCTGATAGATTGTTTTGCAATTGAGGGGACGATATTTTAAATTTTCAGCTTCCGCTGTCGCAAATATCCAATATATAACCATTTTATAACCAAAACTCAAATTTAGTTTCAATATGAGTGGTTTCTATTGTATCATATTTCCTCCCCTGTCAACATATGACAAGTGCTGTTATGTTATTTTACATTTAAGGGACTAAAAAATTCCCTTGAATAAAAACTATCCTCAAAAGAGAGCAATATCTAGCAATAAACTGACATTTATGCACCACTGTTTGCCAGACAACAAATCAAAGCACTGTAAAGAGAGTAGTTAAACGTCAATAATGAAAGTTGAAATGCTGTCAGTGATGCGAAAGCTGGTTGATAGATATACCCGCACTGTACCCATGCAGCTGGCTGTGAGTGTGTCGAGGGGTATAATCAAGCGAGCGCAGTGATTGCCGCAGTCAGCACATTTAGGTAGCGAAAGCTTGTTGTGCAAACTAAGTAAATAAATATAACGGAGGAGTGCAAGCTGTCAACGCGCAAGAAGCGCACACACAAGCATAAATGCACTCAAGAATAACATATGTGTGGATATAACTGTATATATGGTATATATCTGCGTTGCTAAGCTGCATTTGCAAGCGCAAGGGACAACAGCTTAAAAAAACAACAATTGCGATAAATTTGCATAAGGTGCTTAACCCAGAAACATAAATACGATATTTAAGTTTAAGCTGCGACGGGGGAAACATATTACGTATTTGTTGTTGCCACAAAGTGTGCTTGCCACATATATACATATATACACTCAGATGTACGCATATAAAAATAGATGCACGGCAGATAATTCAAATGCAGCGCATGCTATAACTATAACTATATAATATTAACAACAACAGCAACAATGTGGTGCACGCTTTCATGCGCATTTACTGCAGAAAGCCATTGAAATGTGTTTGTGTGTGCTGTTTCTTTACATTTTAGCTTGCGACGTCGCAGAATGCGTGCGCTTGCATTTTTGCTGATTTCCCCCTTTCCCTTCCTCCACTTCTATATATTCAACGTTTCTCTTTGCACCCTTTACTGTCAGTCGCTGCCTTATTTCCTTTATATTTGTTTACTTCCTTCACATGCAACTACTCCGCAGTATTTTTATTGCTTTTGTGCTTAAATGCCACGTTGCACGTTTGCTTTTTTCACCCACTGTGGCAATTCGAAGCGCAGATCCGCACACAAATGTTTGGATTTCTATAAATTCAGCCACTATTCGCTGCATACCTTTGCACACATCGGAATTGCGCTTCAACTATGCGGAAAATTCAGTTGCAACGGTATGTGGTGTATATGCAACATATATATATATATATGTATATTCCACAAAAAATATGTTTTCATCTATTTTTCTTGCTCTCGCTTCATAATTTTTTATGCTTACTCGCCACTTTGTAAATAAAAAAAAATAAACGAAAATAAACCTAAAGTTACAGTTACAGTTTACACATTTTGTGCCATTTGCCTTGAAAATCTCTCACACGGAGCCAAATTTGGTGAATAACGTAATTGATCAATGGTATACATTGCGTTTTTGGCTTTAAATTCGGTCACAATTGCGGCTAGATGCGATGGTGCATTATCATCGTGTAAAATCCATGAATTGACCTTCCACAATTGCCAAATAAAACTCTTTAATGACTGTATGTTCCTCCTGGAGCAAACTCATAATACACTAAACCAGGAATAGAGACACAACTTCTCATTTCCCCTGCCATTATGATGAGTGTTGGCTTGTTTGCATGTCAAACTCATAAACTTATGGCTCGTTGGGTTCCATAAATGTGGGATCGGAATTCGCACGTTCAAGTATGTCCAAAGGAACCCTATTTTTGATATAATATTACTATTTCTTTTTAAATTCAGCTTTATCGGAACGAGTCACCACTGAGGTGTACAGACTTAAGCAGCTGCTGTAAAGATACTCGTTGACAGATCATGCTCATATTCGGTGCAGTAATTATGAAGACTCCTAACAACTTAGCAAAATAGATCGTTTTGAAATACCATTTACACGTGGTATATAAATACAATTTCCTGGCGCTTTTTTGTCACAATGTATATATTAACAAAATGTAAATCTCATAAATAAAAAGTCAGCTTAGCTCACATTTGTTCATTTTCCACACAAAAGCTTGAGTCTGAGCGCATCTCATTAGTTTTGAAAATATTCACTTTTTAAAGCATAGGGTTTTCACCGTTCGTGTAAAATATTTTATGGGTAATTTATTGAAAATGTTAGAATTAGTTTTCTGGATAATGTATACTGTTCATGGGTGAACACTCATACAAATAACTTACCTCACAATAAGTAAACCTGCTGCTTCTTGCTTTATTTTGTCGCCGGTCTTCCAAGAATATGTTCCGTTCAAACTCTTACTTATAGTTCTTATTAATTCACTTACTTATAACAGTTGTCTACTTATACTTAATATTTCCCAATATTTTTCGTTACAGTTAAACATCTTCAATATGAAAAAAAATTCCTCAGCATCAGCAGGAAAATACGAAAGCAAGATGACAGTTAAGGAAGGAAGGAATTTGAGGGAACTTACAAAAAGTAACTTTAGACTGGATGGTGGTTGGGATGGAATACTGAAGATACAACCGGAAAAGATTGTGAGGCGTGCAAATCCACTTAACGACGGCCACAGGGAATATATAAAATATTTGCTCCAGGCTTAGAAGCGCTTTAATAATAAAATGATATAATAATATTTCTTTATACATTCTTTTTAAGTTATTTTAATTAGGTATTAATATTATTTAAGCCAAACATTTGTTAAGTCCGATTGTCATTCACAAATATATATCATTATAGTAAAAAAATGCACAAATTTATTAAATTCTTTAAGAAGTTATAAATAACTATATGATAAATATTATTACCAAGTATAAACCAAAAAACAAATTAAATATTTTATAAAAAGATAAGAAGCTAACTCATCGTTTGTTAAAAATAGTTGTATGTAAAATATAGTAAGTAACTTAACCTCAGGAACTTTTTATATATATATACAAGACAAAAAAACAATAACTAAATAAATATAAAAATAAATAGTTGCTCCTATCATTAGAGACGAAAAATTTTTAATAAATGCAGCAAAAAAACTGTTTAGCTTAAAAAACTTTTAGTACATATAAAGTGAGTACACATAAACTTATAATTTATTTAAAAAATAATCCGACGTCAAAATTACCAACACATTGGTCTGAAAGCTCAAAATAACATCAACTGTATTTTCCTGAAATGTTACCAATTTTACCCCAGTCTCCATGCTGAGGCATTTTAAAAATTGTTTTTCAACTTCACTCAATTTCCTTTCACTTATCACCAAAATCCTCAAAATCGGTTAAGATTTGCCGAAGTTGCAAATAAATAATCATTTCTGAACACTCTCCACCATTCAATAAACCGTGTCTGCATTTTTCATAATTCTTCTCAATTTCAATCATCCCCACTCAATTTCTGTTCGTTTGACACCAAAATCCTCAAAATCGGTTAAGATTTGCCGATATTGTAAAAAAAAATCCTTTCTGGTCACTTTTTACCACACAATAAATATTTTCACAATTTTTCTCAATTTTCTTCAACCCCACTCAATTTCCTTTCATTTAACACCAAAATCGGTTAAGATTTACTAAAACTGCAAAAAAAATTCACTTCTGGTCACTCTATACCCAACAATAATTATTTTTCACAAAATTTCTCAATTGCATTCATCCCCACTCAATTCCCTTTCGTTT